AATTGATACATTTTTCAACCACAATATTGCACATAAATTATGAATATAACATTTTGCAAAAGAATAAAAGTTGTCCAGTTATATTAATTTACAATAATAATTATAGTATCTGTACGTTATAATAATAATTGTAAGTATTTGCAAAAATAATTTTATCTAAAAAGAGATGTACTTGTAAATAATAATGATCAATGATATGAATATACAAAGTACATCTTAAAATATAATTAATTTATAACATGATAAAAAAAATTAAAAATGTAAATGATACTATCTTTACAAGTTAAAATCATGAAATTATATTACAATATTAAATTTTATTTACACGAGAATAAATATACTTGGGTATTCACATAAAAATGTAAAGAACACATTTCTGAATTTGAGTTTATAAAAACATTTTTATTGAAAATTACGATTAAACATATTAAATTCTTATGTAAAATATTGATTTAAATTAATCGTAATTTTAGAGACTCAACTCGTTAACTGTGCCTTCTACAAACCGAATGATTGCATGTATTGGTTTTGTTGATTTTAATGGGTAAATCGTTATTTTAATTGTTTTTTTTTTTTTTTTTTAAATTAAGCATTTCGGGTAAATTTTTGTACTGTTTTGAACAAACAAGGAAGATATATTTTTCCAAAAAATCACGTGCGTACATATAATTGTGTAAAATAATTTTATACAAAACTAAAAGGCGTAAAAAAGTTTTCACGGTAGTTACTCATAAAAGCATCAACATTAAACTTCATTATTTTGACATGAATCGCTGATTTTCAAAATTCTGATAATACATTTCATCCAACCCGTGGTTAACCGTTACGATGTCAATCGATATATGTCTCTTCCAATTGCTAAAATTTGGGTAATATTGTTGACATTGTTATGATATCACATGCATACAATATAGAACGGCAAAGTCGTAAAGTACTTTTTGTGCAAATTATTATTTTAATGCGATTTAACGAAATTTATTGTGCAATCATTTTAAATTACGTTTTGTTAGTTGTAAAAAAATAGTTTTCCGACTTTGAAATTAAATCTTGAGTTGCATAATTAAATAACTAATGTTAATCCACTTAGCTCGAAAAGAACATTCGACTGGTGTGTACCAAAACAATTAAATTGAATACATATTATGTACTGTGCGGTTTATTGATGTTTAGGTTTGGCCTGAACCATAATTTCATTATTCACTATTTTGCTGATTATCGTTTTCTTAAGCCTGTAGTCGCCCGTTCTAAATTTTCTTGCAAAAACGTGTTAGAAATTCAATAAATTATACACAAGTATATATGTCAGTGTATATGTTGTATAGAGCGTTGTGTACTGTAACGCTTTCAGTTCGTTTAAAAGATATACCCATCACGGATTCTATTCCATTTAACGTAAATTCAGAATAAAACGGAAGTGTATAATTAAGTAAATAGTGAAATTGTTTTGTGACGACCGTATTGTGCTCATTTCATATACAACAAATTGTAACATTATGTGCACGAGCACGTGAGTGAATAATTATGATGTCCGCGATATTAAATCGACTTTTGAGTTACACTTGTAATACTGGATATCATTCGCAAACTAATTGTCCTGTCGTACAAAATAACTTTCTAGCATTAGATTGAAAAAAAAAACCACAAATATTTACCTGATTTGAATATTACCAACAATTTTTCCTTGTACATTTTGAACCTGAATTAAAGAAAAAAATTGAGTCGCCTTCCCTTCCTAGAAGTATGTCTAAATAAGACCATGGTCCGGGAGATCATCACATGTGCGCTAGGGAACAGGGACAACGTGAGAGTAGGTACATGAGAGTAGGGATCGTCGGATCCGGATACACGGTTGATGTACCACGCAAGTGACACTCCGCTGGGCTACCGAACCGCGACGACGATAGGTTCGGCATCATATCGTTTATGCGTGTACATGTGGTGTTGTGTACGTTGTTTACAGGCGATTTGTCACGGGCGCACGACGTCAACGGCGGAAACGATCGGAAAGAGAACGTAAACAATAACGCGTTGCGCCCTACTAGGAAAAGGTAGTAAACTCGTACTGATCACATCTACCAATACCAGGACCTGTCTCTAGTGGCATTCAGTGGGTTTCGTCGGTATTAAATTTTAAACAGTTTATACGTCAATATCAAGCATTTTGGACGACAATTTTATGTTTCTTGTGATTTCATCATAACTGACTAATAATTGACATTTTATACGCACGTTAAAATATTCATAATGTGCATATTTTTCATTCTAACCATTTCAAAGCTGGATTTTTTTTATTTTTGTTGCTGAAGAGACAAAATCTCAAAATCCTTCCTCCCCATTTGTATGCAACCAGGTGACTACTTCCTCCAATTTGGACAAAATGTCGTGCAGCCGAAACTTTACAGACTTATGAGTGATATGATTGTTTTCACTTAAAAAAACTCGTTTTTACAATTGTACTATTTAAAAATTCCAAAACATAATTTATTTATAATAATAGCTATGTTACATAAACTCATCTAGGAAATGTTTTGCTATTTAAAATTAGAACAATTACTCATCTTTATCTAAGCATTTTAAGTTTAAAAAGTGCATAATCTACGTATATTCTCGTAATATTTATTTTTATTTTTATCATATTAATTTACATACATACCTAAATTTATAATTGTGTGTGTATGTGTGTGTTTGATACCGATATGAACGCGATGATCGGATAACCTTTCCAGGACGGAACATGTAAGGCGATTTCAGAATATCGGCTACTATCGGTTTTAGAATTAAGTTGCGTCTGAAAGGAATTTCTCAATATCCGTATACGTCGTGTGTTTGTATGTATAAGGAGTACTAATAAAGATTATTCGTATGAGTGTCTATTATTCATTCACCCTCACATGTACTCTCCGCATGCAACACTCGGTTGAAACTGCTACCGCGGCTCTAGATGATATGGTACAGCGTTTTATAATTTGTAAAAAGGACTATAACTAAGTAAGCCCTACGATATGATCATAACATTCCAAAATCATTACTAACTAGTTATACAACTTGGCGAAAAGATACATCTATATATAAAAAATAAATCGTTTTATTTAATACTTTTTTTTTCGGTTGGTGTGTTCATAATAATTACTCCGTTATTAACAAACGGTTAAAGGGGATGGTCCAATTAACATATGACGCTGAATAATATGATATGTACAAAATGTGTTTAAGTCACGCACGTCAATTGTTTTCAAGACTACTCGTTTGCCAGTGGTTCGGTAAAGGTTATGATAACGACGAAGTCAAATATAACGGTAGGTTATCTGGTCGTTATATTTTTTACTTCGCGTACATAAGTACGTAATATGTAAAATACTTGCACACAAAGGGCACGGGCGTATCGTCGTTATGTGTAACAAAAGTGTCATATCGGTTCCCATAGCTACGGGCCGCGAAACTTTTGCGCTGCTCGAACGAAGACGTTTCACCTCACAATACCCCCAAGTCTGGCGTTTCCGTGAGCCGATAGTTGTGACCGCATGCGGGGTGTATGGATAACAACTACCGCGTTTACCCTGCACCGTTCCGGACAGCCGGCAAACGGTATTATTCCTGAGGATTAAAGGGTTAAACCCATTCCGGCCGTCTATAATCTCTCATCCGAGGAAGGGCCACAAAACACAGGCTACGGTGGCAGGTAGCTGTGGTCCCGGGTGGGGCGTAAGCCCCGTGTTTGTCGAGGGATTTGTGCTCGGTCGACGATTATTTTCCTTTGCTCACGTGTAATATTTTGACGACACTTGTCAGTTGTCACGTCACCGTGACGTCTGGTACAATTACGACCGACGTGAGCCGACGCGAACGTGTTATTTTTTTCGGCTACGACGCGAGACTCACCGTATGGCAAACAACCATAGTTATAGCTAATAAGCTGTACGCATACATCGCGCGTTGTTAGTAGTCACGGTTTACCAATATCGACGAAATACTCTTACGCTGTATATTTCATTCCCCATGTTTCACATCGAAAATACTCTCTCTCTCCTTAACTGACGACCGGTTAAAATCTTTAGCATAATGTCATGCGATGTTAAAACGATCTTATGAGAAGAACCTTTGTTGTACCTGATGAGTGGTCTTCTATTATTTTCGTTCGTGCACACGTACGCGGGTGCACACGCGTATTTGTGTAAATTGACATGGTCAAGAATATGCAGAGAGAATTTAATCCTGGACACTTGTTGGTCTTTCCTGCGCCGAGACACGCCTTGATAATATATGATACATCATGAACTCGAGAGACGAGTAAGTAGTTGAAGGCTGTGAGTAAATACGTTCACTACCGTACACTACGAGGACGAGACTTAAACGAAAATATCGCGTGCGTAAACGTAGAAACGCATTATTGTTCCGTGCACCAGACTAAAACTACGACATTTTATAATTTTCAACGGATGTGTTGTTTTTATTCATTATTTCCACTGCTAATCGATACGAAAAGTTTTGTGGCCTCTTTTGATTATACCGTCTAACGAACTTGAACATTCTAATTTTTCATTGGGTGTGCGTGCATGTTTACTTGATTTAATAATCAAATAAAAATGTCTGTGATATTTTGGTAGTTCTTCTTGAACATTTATGTTATTAGCGACTTCGAAGCCTTTAAACCGTTGTTGTTTCGATTTTTCCCAGTCAGAATTGTTAATTTGACGAATTTGATGATCGAACATACTAGTTTTCGACGGCGCAAAAAATAATTTTCAACATTGCAAAATAAATTATCAACAACGTAAATAGAGCTCAATAGCACCTTAGAATAGACTCCGACGAGTAAAATACATTATCAAACCTATATGTCGTCTTAAGGGGCTAAACGCCGTACCATATTATTGTAACATATTATTGTAGTGATACACTGGTACTTTTTCGGAAAAAAAACACGTAGGTTTATAACAATTCATGTTCGGAGAAGTTTAATACACGTTTCGTTCCGTTAAACGTAGTTTTTTCTGTTGCAGAACCGTTTTTTTTTTTTGCATTAACCAAAGCACGTCAAGAGATGTGGCTGAAGCTGGTAGTGGTGTTCGCTGCGGTCCAGCTGAATCCCGCGCAATCCAACTTTGGCCAGACGAGGACTTCGTTCAGCAACGAGCTGCGTACCGGTTTCGCCAGACTTTTTCGCAACGGCGTGGAACAACCACTTCAGCCGTCGCCGTTCGTCCTGCTGAACCCCACGGATTTCCAAACGGTCGACGGCCCGCTCGTCCAGCGCCCGGCCCCGTTCAGCCCACTGGCCGCCACGGGATATTCGTCTTCGCGACCCAGGTACGAGTTGCAGCATCTGTCGACGGTGGTCCTTTTTTACTACGGTGTCCCTATTGCTAGGTTCCCGTTCCCTCCGAGAGGTGGTAGACGACAAAATGACGTGTTAGTGGTGGTGGTCAAGACGAAATCGAATTGCACCACCCCGGGAAAAGGCGGTGGTGGCGACGGTGGCGGCGACGATGACGACGACGATGACGACGACGACGAAGGCCAAGTAAGAGCAACGCTCTCGGAGCGTATTAGTATAGGAAGGGTTTTCAGATTTTAAAATCCTTAAGGATCAAATCAAATGACCTTTTCTTTTTTTGTCGATATAACAAATATCGAATTATATGGAACTAAAAATGAATATATCCTTTTTACAGATAACTCAATATTATTCTAAATTTTATTATTAAACGATGCGATATTAAATGTAATTTTTTCTCTCGACTACTATTATCTGTGACAGACTAAATGATCGAACGGCACACCGGGATGAATAGAAGCATATAGTTAACATGAAACTTATTACGAAATATTTCCTATACTATTTATTTTTTTAAAAAAATTTTCCGAACAATAAGTGCAAACATGGAGTTTATCTTGTATATGAAATGACTAATATGAAGTACACATTACATTAAACCAGATGCTGATCTTTTGTGGTTTTATCAAAATGTAAGCAATCCAATGCCACCACGGTCTGGTGTGATGGAGTTCTGAAAATATCAATGAGATTTACCCAAAATTTCCCATGAATAAATATTATTGTAATCCATATACTTTGGATAATCAATGATAAATGATGTTTTATAAACAAATGTCAATGATATTATCGTCTACGAAATAACATTACTATGAATAATGCGTTTTCTCCACTGAAGATTACGTTTCAATGTGTAGTTTTCTTGACTGGCATTTACATCGCAGCATAGTGAACATGTAATATCTCTGACACGTTGTTAATAATAGTTTTACGTCCCAAACGAAAATAAATTGTATTTATATTCGAGTGCGCAGTGTCTCGTGTATGACAACCGATTTACGGCCGATGTACTGTTAAGTGGAATAATCGCTTTTGTAGGACCCATACTCAATCGAGGGATAATGGAATCACCACGTGCAACGGATAATTGAATCGTATATAATCGTTGCACTGCATCTCGACAAAGCAGTGAACGCTGTGAATGAGTATCGGCATTTTGTTGCGTGTCACGAACCATCATGTTAGGGACGCGTCTATATATTGCTGAAGGTGATAGTTTTGACAAAAAATATTTATATATAATATTATTTTTGGGTAAACAACGTATACTATGAATAAATTTCAAGCAGTGGTTGAAAAAAAAGAAAAACAAGTTTTTGATACTGAAAGTGTTCGATTATTTCATCGGATTCACCGTGATAACGTAGAATTTCTGAGTTTCATCAATGAATTTTTGTTAATTTTTTTTTTTCAACTATATGTTTTCATTTTCAACTGTACGAGTATAAATCAAACCGTTTGTTTAATAATTATTAAGTTAAATAGCGCGTTACTTCAAACAATATATGATATAATGAATCAAATGCATCATAAGGAGATTTCCTTTGCTATTGACTTTCAGTTAAAAATAAATAAATACTGTGTTGGGTAATGGAAAGTGAATGAGATCCGAACAAACATTTGAACATTTGCAGGAACGTAAATATAATAACAAGAATAATATTTTTATTAAAGGGGTATAATAGAACTATAAATGTTTTGATTTCATTTTTCTTAATACAAGTTGTTCTTTCTTTCTATCCCTCTCACTCATGGTTTAAATTTATATTGTTATATTGGATAAACGATACAAAAAAGAAGTATAAGATTCAATTAGGTTTAATATTAGTCTTCGACAAAAATACATAAGACATTAAATCAAATATACCTTCATACTTTCGTAACGTGACTTTTCGGTATTCGTTAAACGATAGCACATGTCCATCGATAAAGTTTACCTGGTAGATATAACCGGTTAGACTATCTCTGCACTGGATATTCTAAATTTTTCTGATCAATATTCATAGTTACTGTTTTGTGGGACTACCAGGGCTCAATATCGTGAAATATATAACTATCAATTTATGGAGTTAATCACTTATATTGTATAATATAGTTATTGAAAGTATACACTTGATCATTAGATCACAGCGTTGATCATTGATGGTCTGATTGACAAGTGGAGATGACAAACACACACACACACACACATGGAGACGTACTCTATATCGTAAGCAAATTTAGTTACTCGCGTTGAGACGGTGGTTAGGTGACTGATGTTCTGCATATCATGGTACACCATTGACGTTTTGATATTTCCCCCTCTTTCGGTCATGTAATAATGCATTGAATATTAGAGCCAATTTGGTTGACAACGGATAAGTGTAAGACTTGTATATTGGACCCATAACGCTATTCACACACCGTTTATGCTAACCATGATCACCGCACGTTAATATTGACTAACACTATAATCCGGTGAGGATTATCATTTGGTGCTAAATATTTCCGTTTCATATTTTTTCCTCTTAAACGTATTAATTCACAAATAATTGTATTCGATGAACGTAATTTATTTTATATTTTTTTCCGTCAAGGAAGAGTATTTCAACATGTGGTTTTCATTTTGATTTTAAACATTATTAGATATAATGAATAGCTATCATTAGATAGCGTATATATGTAAGTGTATCTCAGTGCAAGATCCGATGGCCGTTGGTAATACGCTTAAATGTTACAGGTCCCGCTGAACCCGGACGACGACGTGGAAGAAGTGAGCATTGTTGCCGGCGGCGTGGAAAAGGGCAAGGAACCGTCGCGCTGCGTGTGGGCGATATTGTCTTGCTGCGCCCCGTCCAACACGCCCATCCGATACACGTGCTTCGACGTGCTAGGCTGCAGCACCGCGTTCTGGGACACCAATCCTTGCGTGCCGGCCATCCTGAAGGCCGCGCTGGACCAGGCCACCCAGTTCTACGGGCCAACCACGGCCACCAATCGCACGGAGACGCCGACCACGATGCCACCATCGCCACCACCCACGTCCCCGACACCGGCCGGCTCCGAACGCGTAGCCGTAGATTTGAAATCGTTCATCGAGTCCACCATCACCACCACCAGCACCGCGGCCACTGACACCACGGTAGCCGACGCGACGCAGGCCGCTTAGGCTCGACCGTTGTCCCGTGGTTGCCGTTTCGTTCTGCGGGGACGTGCGCCCGAACGGATTCCGATTCCGTATTGGCCGCACGAAAGTCGACCAGGGACTCGCGTACGTCCAACGTAGAAAAAAAAAACAATTTTTTTATTTATAATAGCATTTCGAATTAGGAGTAATTTTTTATATGCCGTTTTTTATTTTTGTCGTATAAAGTAAGAGGTTTACGAGTTGGTGGGTGGAAACGTATCAAGGAGGTGTCCACCCCTGGACGTGCATCACCGCAGTCATGTGTAAATGATCGTTTTTTTTTTTTTTTTCACGATTATTCAGATAGTTTGCTGTTTTTGGACGCACGGGTGTACAGTTGCAGTAGATTTAATATTATATAAGTTGCACATAATTGTATAGGTATTGTTAATTGCGGATAATCACGACTACACTGGAAATAATTACTTTCGACTGCACCGCGAGACTACAAAAATGTTGTACGGTTTTTTTTCTTACGAAACGGCCATTAACGTTTGGCCCGCACGCGCGCCCAGCTGACTTCGTATACGTCTATTGTAATATTTAGAAAATATAAAGGTACGTTTTAGTTATGTAATGTTACGCGTGTCTTGTGAATATTATTTTTCTTTCTAAATGTCAGCTTTCAAATGTCTAACCGATTGAGAAATTCGATATCGTTGTACCATACGGTTATTTCTCGTCCGTTGTTTACAACTCGTATCACGTAGAGGTGCGTTTATGAAATGGTCCGAACGCGACTGAACGAAACGAACACGAATTTACTGGAGACGTTCGTTTATTTATATATATATATATATATATATATATATATATGAATATCCATTCGGGTTCGTTACTCGGCATTTACCGGTCGGTTTCTTTTGATGCCGATAGCCGACTAACAATGAGGTGGCCGTCAAAACGTTCGGACCCTATAAGGTGTAAACGCTTCTGAAGATAATCGTTTTCGTTTGATATTTGTATTGAAATATTTATTTTGAGCTAACATTTTTCTTTCTCCTCATCATTGGTTCTTTTTCAACCAATAAATAATAATAATAATATTGTTTAACGAATGTTTCGAACCCTAAATCGGAGCAATTTCACCGGTTTTACAAAGATATGCGCACTTTTGTTGTTATTTGCAAATAGATATTTATATAATATAATAGTATATAACTTTTATTTTTTTTATATAAACATAATATCACATTAAACATATATTTTAAACGGTGTACAAGATTTGAATTTTTTTTTTTTTTAATGATAAAAGCACATTTTCAAACAGGAAACACTTTAATGTATTTACTAAATTAATTTCAAGTTTTATATAATTATTAACAAGATTTACAACGCTTCGAAGTGAAGTACCATCAGTCCAAGTATTGATAAACTTTAATCGGATTGAAAACCGTTTAAAAATTAAGAAGAAATGGTTTTTCAAGTTGTACTTATAAATATTATTGTATATATTCTTGGAATAACTGCGAATCCTCATAATAGACATTTCTTGACGATTTTTGTGATGAAATCAAGTCACTTAAAGACGTTAAAGGAAATCACGTCCTTACCATATAATTTTTACAAGCACAACTCTCTACATTCGCGCGTCCTGTGAAATATCTATGCCATCATTTATCCTGTACGAACCGAGTAATAACTATACTAATTATATACATTCCTCGTATTATTTTATGTTTATGCCGGATAGGCGTGTGCGTGAATAAATTAACGATTTCGAAATAAACTGGATGTACAACAAAAAATCAGTGCTCGGAATCGATTCTTGCACATATAACAATGTTTGTGTTACATCGGTATAAAGCAACAATTTCCAAACTTTTTTCCCGCTGTGGTTTTTTTTTGACTCAATTTAGTCACGATGCCTTGCTGCGATCCACATGAAAGACAGGACAAAAAAAAAACTCTCAGATAACCAATTTTATTAAAATTTAACTTAATTATAAATGAATTAATTTTTAAACTTAAATAAATAAAAATGATTGTTATTATAGTTATAATTATTACATGAAAATATTATATGGGTGAAATGAGAATGTCCGAATATACAATAGAAAATATTTTATTATTTGCTATAAAGTTTTTACGAAAACAATAAGGAAAAAAAATTCTAATAATTTTAAATCATTTGTTATGAACCGTAGACTGCAGTGTCCTTGGAAAGTACTTGCTTTGCCCCTAAGGCAACGTTTAGAACAGAGTAACAGTTTAGAAACCACTGGTATAAATGTAGAAAATGGACAAATTTGCTGTAAAAACCAATATTTGGTTTGAAGCAACGCGCGTCCGAGGAACCATTTTATCAAGCGGATTTTGGTTGCATCATTTACGATATGGTATGATTTGTGTTCAATAAATGCTCATTTCGCTTGTTAAACACATTTCTGTCGAATATTGTTATATATTTATAAATTTTCATTTCGTAGAAAAATTAAAATAATAAATATATCACGGCTCACCTTCGTCGTTCTTTCACTTTCACTAATTGGTCGACGTATTATTAAGTTTTTACCGAGTTGGTTTTGCAATCAAAAATAATTTTACAGTCAAAGAATGAATTCATTTTGATATTTTATTCCACTTTCAACTGCTCAAACTGAACGTTTGACTATACGTTGGTATACATTTTTCCGTAAAATGTTTATTGTGCGCGCGAAATTCTCGCAGGTGTATGTTACGAGAGCTTATCGCAACGGCAGAATCCGATCGATTGCCACACTTATAAATGGAAAATCAAAGGATGAAGGAGGAGAGATATAATAAAAATGATCAGCAATTGGTTTATCAAAATACAAAGTCTTATTAGATTAAATTAAATAAACATTGAATAAGCTTACGAATTAAAGGCAAAAAAAGGGGGGGGGGAGCAACGTATAATGTATAAAATAAATGTACCTAATGGGCGCACAGAACAAATATATTTTGTTTTCATAAAAATAATTAAAAGGTTGACCTGTCTCCAAACGGTGCCACGATGACTGGTGACTGAAATTATCCACGTCCACACTAAATTGAGTTTCATATAAGTATAATGATGATGGGCATCATATAATTTCAACAAATACGGCGAAGGCGCACTTATTAAAATGGCGGCAAAGGCTCACTTATTGAACGACGACGAAGGCGTACGTATCACGTTTACGATGATGAAGGCGTCGTATTATAACCCAAAAAAGCGACGAAGGTGCACTTAACTAACGGCGACGAAGGCGCACGTATCACGTATACGACGACGAAGGCGTCATATTATATCCCAAAGAACGACGAAGGCGCACTTAATTAATGGCGATGAAGGCGCACGTGTCAAAACCATGTTCAAAACCGAAGGCGATAGAAAAATGGTGACGAAGGCGCATGTACAACCGGAATACAACCACAAAACACAAAGACACACGAAAAAGTGAATAATAACACGCAGTTCAGAGCGTGTTTTACACTCCTGTCCTGGCGACGAAGAAGAAGAAAACATATATGATCACCATACGCGTTACCAACTCGTCCACGCCAGAACACGCGGAAGTGTTACCAACTGCGCCTTATTGTTGATATGTAACAGGACCGAACATTTATACTTAAATCAAAATAAAATATGTTATGAACACTTTTTTTTTGTCGATCTTGGCCAATGTACGATTCACCACAAAAAATATTCTTTATTCAAACAATAACAACTGTACAACTGAATGATGAATAGTTAACATTATATGTCATAACTTACTATGTGTGTATATATAGAAAAAAACATATAAATTAACGGTGTGTTAAAACCAAGACGGCTATAATTTTTCATTTATTATTTATGAGTATTGTTTTTATTCCTTGAAATGCAATGAATTAACAAATTATTATGTACTACATTTTTAGCCACTTGATTATTTTTAAGAAACTTGGTTTTTTTAAATCATTTTTATTTATAAAAAAATGTTTATAGAAGGTAAATTTATCTTACGTAATAATTTTTCCTGAATGTTCTATAGTTATTCAAAGTATATTTAAATTGCAAAGTTCAAAAAAAGTGTATATACAACTTTTAACAATAATTCCTGGTTAGATTTATCTAACTCTCTGAGTTTTCCGAAGTCAAAGAAATTTCTAAAGGCCTCAAAACCTTTTGGAATTGAATTTTTGTATATTTTAACTACACATATATATATATATATACATACTTTTGAACATAAAGCTTTATCTTCATAAACTTCAAAACAAACACTTTATAGAAGTTGTTGTATTTATAAAATTCTATGTTTATTTTTCTTCGATTATTGTGCTTAAAACTTCATCGTTGCGGCTCAGAATTTAATCAACAACTGTAAAGTAAGTGCACTTTATTCTATATTAAAAAAAATAATAAACGTATTCCTTTACAATTATTGTATGTAAATGTTAATGCAATATTGTACAAAAAAAAAAAAAAATATTTGAACAAACAATCTTACTTAATTCTACACAATTTTAATCATATTTAGTTATAACTCATTAAAATGTCGACGTAAAGGTCATCATTGTATGAAATTTATTGGTTACTGCAGTAACACATATATTTACTCGTACATATTATTATATTAAAAATAAACAAATTCTATACAATTATTACTTTTATGATTATTTTTAAAAAAAAAGAGTCAATCATTAACATCACGAACCATATGTGTTTCAAGAAATTAAACTTATTTAAATAAAATTCTATGTTGGAGTATCCATCAAGGAAATTCAAATCATTTCACACTTGCCATCTCCATCATTTTTACTAGGGCACTTCGGGAATGACCGTTAAGTTTTTGTCCATTCTTTCATTTATCTTTTACGATGCTCGTATACTATTTCCTCTTCGGTCCTTACAAGAGTCCGAACAATCAAACATCTCGTGGAAAAAAACCATACGAAATATCAATAAAATAACTAAATAATTTTAACAAATAAAATAAAATAAATAAATAAAATAATATCAAACGAAAGAGCAAAGTAAATATAAAAACCCGACCGACCGTAGGAACCAAATCAATGGTCCTTGAAACGTAGAAGTGAGTAGGTGTATCAATATGTGTGTTCGTTGTATAAGTATAACGTTGCTGGTACGCTGCGCGGTGGGGATAAGAAGGAAACCGTTTGCAATACTAGTAACACGAGAGAGTGAACAAGACCAACAGCAATTTCCTATTTCAATTTTTCAACCCGTTTTCCGGACCGCTAACTGCTAGCGCATCAGAAAATTTAATAAAGCTAACTCCCCGTCACCAATTCCTCACGTACCATCAAATACTACTTCTACTCTAACCGTCTTACAACTCATACTTTAAACATAATATATATATATGTTTCTTCTGCAAACAACTGCAAATGCATTACAACTTCCTATAATAAACTCCATATCTATTTCTACTGTTTCCACTGCCACCGTTACCTTTATCTACTGCACTATTATCACTATTGCAGCATGGACTATACGGCATTCGACGGATAATTAGTTTTGCCAATTCATTGAGAGACATTGATATAGGAAAAGGGTGGAGGATAGTGATGTGGACGGGGCATTGTTACTAAACGAAAAATCACTCCGTTCAAAAGGATG